AAGCTGTTCCAAAATTATATTAAATTATATTCCATAGAAACCATTTCTGCAAATTATCAAAAGGTTTTAACGGATGTTTAGCGGTTTATGAATGGAATGACTAATTCCGCAAGAAACGTTTGAAATAAGGGTATAAATACCAATTTTAAAACGATAGGGACCATTTTAGCAAAGAGTGTAAACGTTGGGGACCATTTCTGCTAATTACCCTTTTTAATACCATTTCGAAGTGCTCATGACTTAATTTCTCTCATCCCTAATGGCGTGCGAAACGGCCAACCGTAGCGAAAGTTACTACTGTCGAAACAGGTCGTTCCAAAATTATATTAAATTATATTCCATATGGACAATTTCTGTAAATTACCAAAAAGGTTCTAACCGATGTTTAACGGTTTATGGATGGAAGGATCAATTCTGCAAGAAACGTTTGAAATAAGGGTACAAATGCCAATTTTAAAACGGTAGTGACCATTTTAGCAAAGAGTGTAAACGTGGGGGACTATTTCTGCTAATTACCCTTCCAATTACTTTAAAGCGCGTTATTCAAACGCTAGCTAGGTAATATTCTATTATGTATACTTGCTGCTCCTTTGAAATTGTTCCCTCGTTCAACTTCAATTCCGCACAGACTAATGGTAAGCAAATTCAGTATCGCTCTCTTTTTATCTCTATGAATTTGTATTTTGTTTTCGTATTAAGCCCTATTGTTTTGATTCGTTTGTTTTACTTAGGTGTTTATATCCTTCGATTGGTATTTTTTAAAATGGAATTGCTGTGGCGTTTTACGATTTACAACTCGTTTTCTTTTTGCTAGATGCTATAGTTTTCAATTATTTCTAAAATTCAAATTCGTAAATTCTTTGCGCTTACTGTGAAGAATGTGAGCATCCGCGTTTATCTAATCATAATAAAATGTGAAAGATTAGTTTGTGCTCTCTCTATTCACAGACGCACAGCCATGGTTGATAGAAAATAAAATTATATTAAATTGAATTTCTGAGCCGAGGGTTATTTTCTTGACGCAAACTCACGAGGAAAGGGATGGGTTTGGTATTTATTATGCCTATATATAACCCTCATGAGGGTTTTATATATCAAAATGAGTTGCTGATTCAGGAATTGGTCTTGATCGCCAACTCGATAAATGAGCTTTGGTTTTGTTTTAAATAAGCTCATTCTATACCACTTAAGTAATCTCCGAATTTATTTTGAAGTCAATTTTAGCAAACTTCCACTTGGTGTCATCTAATATGCACATCTAGAGTCAAAGTTGGAGTAATCTTAAGTTTGTTTTTAAGCATCTGTTCACAATTATTTGATATTGTGAAGTATGTGTCAAAAAGAGTTGTCAACTGGAGGCTTACGGGGATAATAATTTTTTTTTCTGCTTATTGATTGCTGGATGACTTATTTTAGCCTCAGTTTGGGAAGAATTAATAAATCAAATAAAAATGAGTGATGGCTAGTGGATAGTACTTGTGGGTTCATTGGAATAAGTAGTTGTAAATGAAGATTGACCATTTATAAATTTTGTCAAACATAGGTTTAATGTAAAGATGATAAAAGGTATAAACTAGATGGTTTTCCTCATCTCTTCTCCACTTTCCTGGAAAAAAATGAATAAAATCGGATATGAAAGAAAGGGGAAAAGGAGCTGGTATCAAGTAATTGGTGCTATCCATTTTTAGGCATGTGAGAGGNTTCCTTGAGAGGATATAATGAGAGGAAAATAATGCCCTTCCTATTTGTGCATGAGAATATAATTTGGATTGCAGACATATTTGGAGCTTTTAATTTGGATCTGCCCTTTACTGGATTTATGATTACAGGATTTTTCTTAATTTTTACTGTATTTATAGGCTGAACCAGAATTAGAAGCTGTCAGGCAAAGAAGAATGAAGGAGCTAATGGCTCAACGTGGCATGGTAAATGATTGCCTAGAGTGTGTTATTTTTGTATGTTTCGACTTTTTGTGGTACTTCTAACTGGACTATGAATGAATAGGGAAATCCAGATTTCAGAAAGCAGAAAAGCCCGGATGAAGCAAAGAGGTTAATTTATGCTTAATCTATTTTTTTTGGAATCATTCAAACTCAAATGATTTATTATTGATTGATTTATCTTAGCATTTTCTTTGGAAAGTTTTTCTTGATTTGATCTTTCAAACTGATTGAATTAGGGAGGCAGAGGAGCAAAGGAAAATGATGCTGAGTCAAATTTTGACTTCTGAAGCACGGGAAAGACGTAAGTTGAATTATGAAATGAACAGTGGGAAATTGTCATTAGTTATGGCAGGGATTTGCTTAGTTTCATTTTTGTTTGCAGAGATATGTGTTTAGCTTTGAAGCATTTACCTTATTTCAATTTGTCTGAGAATCCTTGCTAGGTCCTTAGGCTTATTTCCTATAGTGATATCTAAATTCTACATGGGAATATTGAACTTAATATAGCATGCATGTTTTGGTAAAATCTTTATTACTTTGAGTTCTCTGCATTTTGCTCGTGGCATTTTATGTATTATCAGGTACATAGACAAACTCCTAATTAGACTTTTAAAATAAAACAAACTCTTCAAACTTATATATTTTTAATAAAACTCCTAATTGAATTAAAACTCCTACTAGATGTAAAATAATAATAAATAAAAAAAATATAACTTACATGGCATTTTTTACTTATCAAAGACAATAAGAAACGTATCTTATTTAATTAAGGGAGAAGGCCATGGTCTTATATCCTGCCATTTTTCTTAATAGTTTATCTGACTTAAATATTGAGGTACAGGAGATTGTGTACTTTGATTACAGATTCAGTGCACATTTCTTGTTAAACACAGTGAACTAGGTTCTGCATTGTTTTGGATCTTTTTGCATAGAATTTAGTGCCATTTCTATTAAAAAGTGGGCTCTCCCACTTGAGTGAAAGAATTAGCTGATTTCTGAGTGTGTTGTGTATGTGAGCATACACCCCTCCTGCTTAATTTCTCGTGTGTCTTATGATGGAAACGGGTCTGAAGAGTTGGTTTAAGGTAGTTGATCACAGCAGGTGTCCGAAGAAGTCAAGGATTGATCAAAGGCATTTGCGGTCTCTTCTTGTACTATGTATGGTCTAATTTATAAATATCATTTCTTACATACCATGCACATTTTGCGTGTATTTTATTTGTACAGTTGCACGGATTGCTCTGGTGAAACAGGAAAAGGCCAGAGGAGTTGAGGATGTTATACTGAGGCCAGAGGAGTTGAGGATGGTATACTGAGAGCAGCTCAAATGGGTCAGATTGCTGATAAGGTAGCTCTTTGTCACATGATTTTTCTATTGGTTGACTGTGTTGTTCTATGCACGCGACTATGATCCAACCGGCAAAAGGTGACACTACAAACATTATATCTGAGTTTGGGTTGTCCATTGCCAGTCATGTTCTTTTTCTCTGATATGTTTGATGCATAGGTTTCTGAGGAGAGGCTCATTTCATTACAAATCAACACCCAGACTACTAAAGAAACCAAAGTAACAGTAAGTCACTTCTTGTTCATGCCTTTGTCTGTTTGAATCCAATCAACAGGATGTTATAAATTTGTATTTCTGTCGTTTCTCAGATTAGGAGGCTGCGTCATATTTGAGGGTATGGTACTCTAATTGATGCTAGAGGTGTAATTGCCCTTTGTAATAGCATCTATATATATTTTTATTACTCAAACCTTTTTCAAGTTCCTTTTAGAAGTGAGTCAGTTATCCTGCCTGGTTGTCAGTGAACCAAATTACGAAGATTACTATTTAATATGACCCCTCTTGTCACTTTTGTGTCGTGAATTGTTATTTATTTATTTTTTGAGATTGAACTCTTGGAGTATCTTTGATGAGTATCGGTTGAGTGCGTAAATTCTATTCGTGTTTTAATTATGTGGTTTGTAAACATGAAGCTGAAATGGGTATAAGTGGGTGTGACAATTGATCTTAGTATTATCATATTGAGTCACTTTATTTAAAAGCTTAAGTTCGGTGAGAAGAAATAAATTCATTTAATTAATGGAAAGAAACAATAACTCTTTGACTCAGGTCCCTCCAGAAACTGATAGACAGCCTTGACAATCTTTCTAGCTCAAGGGTTTAAATCAATTTCTTTAGGAGTCAGTCCCGGTTTTAAACTAGGTAGAAATTTTTCTACCAAAAATTTTGGCGTGATATTTGTCAAATGGCTAGATTGATTAGGAATTGCACTTATATCATGTTTACTAGGGAGGAATGAATAGTGCTAGACAATATTATAGAACAATAAGCTAAAATCTTGTTCATTTATGTCCTATCGAGGGTCTAGAATTTCATGCTAGAGTACTTCATTACATGAATATAGGAGACTTATTTCTAAAAATTCATAAAGGTATACCTTGTTCTACGTTATCCATGGCCGAGCTCCAGCCAGCCCAGCTGTTCACGAAATTATACTAGTATGGCTGCTTCGTTAAACAGTGGTGGTCTTAGATGTTTCTATATGTATTCTTCGTCATGTACATCAAGAATTAGTAAACTTTGGGTAGATTTACCAAAAAGGTCAATGTTTTGGTGGCGTGCACTTGATTTTATTGCAAAAGAGTTGGTATCTGGTCTTTATTACGTGCCACATGATGAAAGCTTCATGATGCAGTCTTTCATAAACCAAACAAGTTTCTGGTGTGCACAGCTTCTCTCTCATTAAATGCCTACTCTTTTGCATTTTTACTTGGTAGAGGAAAAGATTAGTAGATGGCATGTAACCACCTCACAAAATTTTATAAAAGGACACGGTGTGTGATTTGCTTTGTAGATGACACGATGAACGAGAAAGAAGATGACTTGTACTTCTTGATTGTTTCATTGGCACCTTATCTAAGATTGATCTTAAAATTCTTCTGAAGGAGAAGTATTTCCAAATTGTCATGATAACTTAGTGGTTCAAATGGGTTGAGCCGGTCTGATGAAGCTTTATACAGGACCGGGCCGCTGTGGCCATGGGGACCAGCTCATTTTGACACTACCGAGTATACTCGGGCAAAATTTCAAGTGATGCTGTGTATTTGCTCTGGTCTCACACCGTTCTTTTCAGGTTTTCATGCTTTATTTGTCTCACTTTTCTTGATTGAACCCACAAATTACTCTCTCGTGCGCGCACGTACTCACATTCTTCTTGTACTTGATTGGGAGAGGAGTCTTTCAATGACATTGACTGATGAACTAAAACAATTACTTGGAAGACACCAAACAAAATGAAAGAAAAGAGAGCATTGCCATATGACAACGTCAACGCCCCTACTTTTATAGGTTCTTCAATGAATGATTGCCCATTACTTAGCTTGTGCTAAATGACGATCCATGAACGTAATTATCTAATAATCAAGTAAAGAAAGGTCTTTCATTTTCTGTACTAAAGCAGCCATTTTAGTCATGCTGAACCGATTGGTGACTGGTGGTTTAACATATGCTGGGTCGGGCTAGGGGGTTGTCTCTATAGTTGGGCTGTGCTGAGCTCGCCTGAGGCCATGCACGGGGCCGATGGAGACTACATAATTTTAGACGCGTAGGGTCAAGGATGACCTAAAATGGACAAGTTCAAAACTAGACCGTGCTCGTCGGACACAATTTGATTTCGACATGATAAATGTATCCTTGCACGGAGTGCGCTAATAGCTTGTTCAAGGACCATGTAATTTTAGATTTTTACGGTCAAGTTAGTTGATATGAACAATTTCAAAATGGAATCCTGTTAGTCTGGCACAACCAGATTTGCACTTCATGACAAATGGTGTCAGTTTATTAAAAACATCTTGCACAAAGAATTCTCAAGTTTTAACAATAGAGGTCAATAATTTCTGACTGATGACAGAATCTAACATGAGTAGTTTTCACATTGAAAAGCTTCATTAAGTTACAAACCAAGCCAATAGAGAGACTGTATGAAGAATATATTGATTTGATTATTGTTGTTTTTGTTTACAAGTTTGTGGAATGAATTATAAAATAATGGTGTTTTAAAAAAATGGAAAAGTTGACAAACTCAAAACAATCCAAGTGGAGCAGATGATGGATGAAAATCTTTTTGAATGGTTTCACAGTTTGTTCAAGATGTAATAGAGCACTAACTTAAAACAAAGTAGAATTAAACATTGTACACCAGAGATTATATTTCACCTCCTTGATTTCTTTTCTCATCCAATTGACTTCTAGCACTCTCGATTCTTCATCGTGAGGTCTAACACAACTTTTCAGTATTTGCACTTTAGTCTCCAAACTTTAGATCTCTTGCAATTGAGTCATTTTTCTCCGATTCCACTATTTATGTCGATTTGTACTTGGCAAACACAATATACATGAAACTAAGCCATAATTAATCAAAATAATAAATAAATACTCTAATTTAAAGGTCCAAATAAGTGTATAAAATACACTTATCATTACGTTAACTTTTGTTTTAGTTTCATGTATGGACTAACGCCAAGCTAGATCACTTTTTCGATGAAAAGATGATAAAAAGACAGAATTCGAGTGCATTGATGAATGAAAGGTTTGAAGTTACCCATAAAGCGATACCAAAGCAAGAAAAATAGTAGAAAATAATGAATTCTTCCTATATTATATCGTTTTGATAGAAAAATATTTGTGATCAAGTGACATGATTTCCTTAGTCCAATCTACATAAATGATACCAAAGGCAACTAACAGATTGCCAAATTGAAACCTTTGGAGCAGTCTTTCTTTATCTCAGTGCACCTACCTTTTTAGCATACGTATATTTTGCATCATATGATATAATATATATTTAGAAATGGCGTATTTAAATAATTTGGTCTATATTCTATTAATCAAGAATTTTCTCGTAATGTCAACATCTAAAGATTCTTTAATTTTTTTCAGCATATATACCTAACAGATAACCTGCCCAATTGATAAAGACTTCCAATAACAATGCCAAAATACCATAATTTATGTCACATGTAAATGGACCCAATTGAACTAGGTCAATTATCTCATGCTATTTCTTTATTCCGTAAACATTCAAAAGTCCAATCTTCTTACGTATTTTACACTATCTCCCGTACTATCAAAAGCAATTATTTGACTTATAAGCAAAGTTAAATCTTTTTCACCCGTTTAATAATTTCAAAAAGTTGTTTTTTTTCTTTTTTCGAGAAAAGCTAGATAAGTGATACTAGGTACTATATGTTATTTATAAAAATAAGTAAATTTGGACTAATAAAATAATCTAAAAAGCTTTAATAATTTGATAAGATTTCTACTTGTGCATAGTCCAACTCCAATGTTAGGATATTTGACTTTGTACTGTTCCACTTTGAATATGACGTGTGCATGACGTACAAGACTATGATTTGTGCTATATAAAATCAAAGGAAAACACCACTTGTGCAATCGAGGTTGACAACCTCTCACGGTGATGAGTCCCACTGTGTTTAAAAAAAATAAAAAATTATCCACCCACCCACCCACTCATCCCATGTGTGAGTGGTTGTCAACCGAGATTGTACAAATAGCATGATTCAAAATCAAAATGAATTTCTAGGGTGGTTTCATGATTATCAAAATTTTCCATTGTCCTAGTATTTTCATCATCTAACAAGTTGCAACTCTTTGGAAGAAACGTATATATTTTGAAGACTTGAAATTTTATTTTGAAAGGTCACATCGATAGTTTCCATTGTCCCACATTGATTGGTGTTTTGTTATTTAATCAACGTGGAATTATACCATTTAACATATATAAATCGACGAACTCGTAATCTTGGATCAACTTTCCAATGATGATGTCATGCCTCGTTTGTCTCTTTTGACCCTAATTTTCGCAACTGAGGTAATGTGGAGCGTTTTTTAACAAATTTTAACAAGATTAATATGTTTGTTCTAGTTTTAAAATTGTGTTCGAATGTTTCAAAACTAGGGATGTTATTCTAATTGAAAAATATTTAAGATACAAGAAAAAATAGTGACAGATATCATTGGAAAAGTATGTTTGGTACGTTATCTAAATTTGGCGATTGCCAATTAGTGTATGTGACCTTTGATTTAATCTTTCTAAAACTCAGCAAGCAAAGCCCATTCATTGGTGATTTGATGCCTAATTTTGTTGCTTAGCAACTCCAAAAAGTATGAATAATGTCATCTAATGTGACCTGACTAAAATGAACCAATAATTATGATTAAGGGAATAAATTATTGATTAATAAAATCATTAGAGCCATTCTATTAACAAAGCGAAGGTATAACACAATCTCTAAGGGTCCGTTTGATAGGCAAATGTAGAAATGAATTCCAATTTCATATTAGTTAGAAAATAAAGAGTAATATTATTCATCTCCAGTGGAGATGAAAACACAGTCTACATGTCTTTAAATGATAGGTTAAATGAAATGTGAAATGAAATGACTTATTTAATTTCACCTATCATTTAATGCTACATTAACGTCACGTAGACTGTGTTTTCATTCTCGGTGGGAATGAATAACATTACTCAAATAAAAATCCATCAAACTCATTAGAATTCGTTTTCCATGAAAACAAAGAATATGCAGTTTAAAGTGCTTGTACCTTGGAATTCGATTTCTATTTTCACGTTGCAATCAAACAGTTAAAGTAGAATTCGTTTTCCTTAGATACGACATTTTTTCATGAAATTCGTTGCAATCAAATATGAGCTAAGACTATTTAATTTCTCTCTACTATTCCAAGTTGTCCAATCTTGTTAATTATTTCTTCCCTTGATATTTGCATTGATTGGAGGTCAGATCACACGCTCCTTCCAAAATGTGTATTACATTTTATCATCGCTCGTAGCGATTTGATTTTTTTTTTTTAAATAAAAATAAAAAAACTCCAACAATTAGGAGAATGGACTAGACTTCTCATTTTCCTCCAAGAGTCCTCAAGTGAGATATTATCGTTTTATATTGTTCTAATATTCCTTTGTATATATAGAGATATTAAGACGAGCTTTCTTCTTTGCAGAGTGAAAAAAAAAAGAGTAATTAGCACATAACGTCCCCCATTTATACTGTTACTGTGGAAAACGTGCTTACCTTTTATTTTTTGGCATTTTCATTCTTATTTCTATCTTTCATTGCACAAAATGTCATTTTCATCCATTTCTTCAATTAAAAATTGTAAAATGATGAATATACACCTCTTTAAATAAAACAAAAGGAAAAAGAAAAAAAAACTAATTGTAATCATGGTCTCAAATTTGTTTGAAAAGCGCAAATGAGTCACAAATAAATTATTAAAAGGGTAATTAACACATAATATCCCTACCTTTTACTATTATTGCAAAAAATGTCCATATATACCTTTTATTTTTTTGACATTTTTATTCTTAATTACACATTTAATTGTGCAAATAATCATTTCTATCATTTTTCATCAAATTTTTCAATAAAAAGTTGTGAAATGACGAATAGTCCCAAATTTTTTTAAAAATGCAAACGAGTCTCAATTAAATTTATTTAAAAATTTAAAAAGTGTAAACGAATCTCAAATAAATCATTAAAGAATAAAAAATTTAAAAAAATATTTTTTATTTAAATAAGAGGGTATATTCATTATTTCACGTTATTTTATTGAGAAATTTGATGAAAATGGATGGAAATGATGGTTTGTACAATCAAATATATAATTAAGAGTAAAAATATCAAAAAAGAAAAAAAAAAAAAAGAAATGTAGGGACCTTTTTTGCAATAACGGTGAAAGATAGATTCATTATGTACTAATTACCCTTTTAATAATTTATTTGAGATTCATTTGCACTTTTTAAAAAAAGTTGGGAGTATGTTTGCAATTTGTTTTTTCTTTTTCCTTTTATTTTATTTAAAGAGAATGGTATATTCGTCATTTCACAAATTTAATTGAGGAAATAGATGAAAAATATATTCTGCGCAATGAAATGTGAAAATAATGGTGAAATGTCAAAAAATGAAAGATATGGACGTTCTTCACAATAAAAATGAAAGATGAGGACGTTATGTGCTAATTACCAAAAAAAAAAAGTATTAATGAGTTCAAAAATCTATTTTAATTCTAGAACTATTATGCAATGGTAAGTGGATGTGATTCTCATATTAAAAATAAAGCACTCTAAATTATGTGTTTTTGTTTGCTTTCAATTTCTAGTTTTTGTAATTATCTTTCATGAATCTATTCTTCCTTCTTCGTCTGAAAAATGTTGAAAGACGACTTAAATTTAAATTTCATCCTTATTGTTTATCAAATTCATTGATGAAAGTTAAGAAATCAACAATTTAGGTCGATAATGATTCTTTATCAAATCAATCCATTTTCTATTCAATTTTTTGGTAATTAGCATCAGGAAAGTGTTATTAGATTATTTGTGTCAAGCAAAATGAGGATTGGAGATTCGCATGTTTCACGCTAGTACAATGTCAATTCAAAATCTAATCTATAGTAGACGTAACAATTCATCGTGTTCGTTGATACTTCCTGGAATAAAGACTCTGCCTAACTTTCTTCTACATTATTTGTCCCTATAGACATTTATATAACGTTGTATAGTACATATCATACGTGGTCTAATTTGAATGTTAAAAACTGCCGCAATTTAAGTCAAAATTCAAAAGCCATATTGATTGCGAAAGAGCCAAAAACCAATTGAACTCTATTGAGGTTCGGTGTCGGAAGAATAATGGTCGAGAGATTATTTTTTTGACGGGAATTTTGTTTTTAAGTGTAGATACGTAAAAGCATTTTCAAGCATTGTATGGTATTTAAATGCTCCACAAGTCAAATTATGTATTTCTGACACTTGTGCATATTATCGATCGTCAGTTCAAGTATTATATTAAACATAGATACGAACAAACATCTCGAGTATTGTATAGAATTTTTATGTTCGAATGTCAAATTTTGAATTATGTCATTTCAATCGCCAACTTGTGCCACACTTTCAATCCTCGATTCGAGTTTTCTAAGAAATAACATACACATGTACAATTTAGAGATCTAGTTCCAATACACTATTTTGGTCAGGCTTGGATATTTACTATGCGTGCATTTGGCTCGTGTTTATAATTTTTTTTTTTTTATAAACACTTAAAGTCAAAAGTTTTGACTCACTGAATAGGATTCGAGTCGGTCCAAAGTTCGACCCGACGAGCCGAGTTTATTTTTAAAATGTGTGAATAATTTTGAGGGAGACAACGAAAGTGAGATTGGTGCCCAACAGCGAAGACAGCTATAGAGGATGCAGGTGAGCCATAGGGAATCTCGCACGTGGCGAGTCATATGGTCAAAAGCCGGTGCCAGTGGGGACTCGTGTAAAGCCAATCCGTCCAGGTAGCTAAAGTTTGAAACATTGACTGCCGCTCAAATAAGGAACTTCGTGACTTAACCCAGTCATCGTTGACTTTTCCTCTTTCTCCCCCAACAACCTATTCTTTACACCTCAAAAGCCCATTTCAAAAACCAATTAAGGTTTCTAAAGATTTTGGTCAATTAATACAATCAATTTATAAATTTTTAAAAAGAAATAGTATTCGAGAATGTCTCGATATTTGAATAGTTTCGTGGTCAATACAAAACATTTCACTTTGTTCAATTTTACTAAAATACATTTAGGGCATGTTTGGGTAGGATTAAAATTTGATTTTAATTTAAGTTAAAGTCAAACAATCAATATTAACCACATCTTTCATGAGCCACACATTTCAAAAACTTCTATCACAATCCACTAAAAATCTAATTTTAATCCTCACCAAACATCCTCTTAATTTGTTTATGAACGTATAAGCTTAGAGTTTGGTACCCTCTGATAGTCACAATCTAGATGAATTAGTAAATGGTCATAAAATTACCCCGACTCACTATAATATCAACTGCTACATTTTTAGCAAACTGTTAATTTATTTAAATTATATCTTCAACAAACCTATATATATAGTTTATTTTGTTACACGTATAAAATGATAATTACACTCTTGTGGGATGTTATCAAAGAAAGGTTTAGTCGCAAATGACACCATCTTTTATGAAATTTGTCAAACTTCATTTACACTGTGGGGTCCCCAGCTTTATAACAATGACTATTATACTTATACGTTTATATATATGAAAATAATATAAAAATAGTAGACCCTCGATCAAAACCTTATTAGTAAAGCTCCTGTCAAAACCTAGCATTCTTTTTCTTCTGCTGATTCTCCTCCTCCATCCATGGCTGAAGAACACAGAGATCTGTACTACCACCAGCCATATTACAACAATCGGCATGGCTCCGGCACGACTGGGTTTACGTTCTCCAGCAGCAGTTCTTCTGCATATACTCCCCTTGCAGCAGATTCTTCATTTCATAATCAACAAATGCTTGATCCTTCATACATGAGCTTCACCGAGATTTTGCATGGATCAAATGATAATAACACTCTTGCGGGAGCTTTTGGTTTGTCGAGGACATCATCTTCTGAGGCATTTTCTAGAGTGAAGGATGAGCAGAAATCCATCATGGTGGGAACTGGAAATTTTGTGGGTGGTAGTGAAACTCCAGCTACACCTAATTCTTCAATCTCCGACTCCTCTACCGAGGCAGTTGGCAATGAAGATTCGAGCAAGAACCAGAAAGAAAACCCTATGAAAGAAGCAATTGAAGATGGAGAAGACACCTCCAAGAAAGAGTAGGGTTATAATTACTTTTCTGTGATCAATTTTGAGAATAAAATTGCCCACAACTTCTTTTGTACTAAGTCGAATTACTACCGCTACTCGGTTATAGCTAGAGTCTAATCTCATTAACATAGATTTTTTTTTGTCGATCATCTATATTAAACTTTGTTTGTTATATGTATCTCAGGACTAAAACGAAGAAGAAAGGAGAAAAGAAGCAAAAACAGTCGCGATTTGCTTTCATGACAAAGAGCGAGGTCGATCATCTAGAAGATGGATATAGATGGAGAAAATATGGACAGAAGGCTGTGAAAAATAGCCCTTATCCAAGGTTCTATTAGTTAATTGATTTTACTTGCAGCATGAATGCTCTTCTAGCTAGTCAAATTTAAAGATTTAATGTATACCTAACTAATATTTAACTTTTACCAGTCCAACTTGCTTCTTGTTCAATGTATATGCAATATAATGATCTGTCGATTGACATCAAGAGACGACATTAACAAAAATTTCTTTCATATTCGGATTCAAAATTGTGAGACCCTAATATAATTATAGGGTTATGGTCTTCCATTGGAAAAAGAGGGATTAAAAAATGAGAAAAAGGGGTAAGCCGGATTTATGACGATTAACGAAGAATATTAGATGTGCGAATCAAGGGTTTCATATATACTCCAAAACTTCTCTAATTTTAACGATAGAAAGAATTTTTTCGGGAAAAAATGATGAAAGTTCTGGGTATGAAGAAATTAAGATGAATGAATACCTAATATAGTTGCTATATTTCATGAATTATCATTGTTTCCCTTTCTTGCTAGTTTTCTTGCCCAAAACACCGTGGAATATGATTACTGAAAGAAACTTATCCAATTTCAGGAGCTACTACCGGTGCACGACTCAAAAATGCCCTGTGAAGAAACGCGTTGAGAGGTCATTTCAAGATCCTTCAATCGTGATCACAACGTATGAAGGACAACATAATCATCATGTTCCGGCCACTCTCAGAGGAAATGTAGCTGGAATGCTGTCTCCTTCATTGCTTGCACCATCATTCTCCCTGCAAGAAGGACATAGATTTCCTCAAGAACTTTTACTTCAGATCCCTCACATGTACAACTATGGAGCAGCTGGAAGTACAAGTAATTCGTATCATCAAAATTTAACACCATTTGAGCAGCTTCAAATTCCTGACTACGGGTTATTACAAGACATTATTACCTCTGCGTTTCCCAAGCAAGAGACCTGAAAATCTCTGATGAAATTCTAACTTCTCTTTATCTTTATTTATGAGTAGCTATAGCAGACTATCTCTATCTTTTTTTCTGCCTTGTGCGTCTCTTTTACTCACGAATAGTATTGATTCAAGTTATGAATCTGTTTTAATTTTCTTGATTTCGTAGTTTTCCCTTGGGAGAAGGCTCATTTTTTAGTTTATATATATATATACTTGTTTCGCGCGGGTTTACTCGCTAACAATTAAAAGGGATCAGATGATTATGTAAGGGACAAACCTCTTGTTATGAGTAGCTATAGCAGACTATCTCTATCTTTTTTTCTGCCTTGTGCGTCTCTTTTACTCACGAATAGTATTGATTCAAGTTATGAATCTGTTTTAATTTTCTTGATTTCGTAGTTTTCCCTTGGGAGAAGGCTCTTTTTTTAGTTTATATATATATATATATACTTGTTTCGCGCGGGTTTACTCGCTAACAATTAAAAGGGATCAGACGATTGTGTAAGGGACAAACCTCTTGGAACAAAGTCCCAAAAAGGGGTGTTTATTGAATATGAAGATTACAGTTTGGACACGAACAAGATGCCTCCAAGGGGCGCAAGCACACAAGTACAAG